ATACCGCCTCAAAGTGCTCGACGCAGTCAAACCGGTAGGCCTCAAAGGACACGATTTACAAATGAAATGGATATGCGTCCGAGTAGGAGAGCACAAGAGTAAAAATTTATATGTATTTTGTAACTCTTTTTCAATGAATAAAAATTTGTATTTCTTTGTCATGTTGTTGTTCAAGAAAAATGAGTAATGAAATATTTATATTATTTAATTTTGCGGGAACATTGAATAAATTCGTAATACAATATAATTGAATATGTATATTCACTATTACAATCTCTAACATAACAATTGATTATTTCTTATTTAATAAAATAATACATGTCTTTCCAACTATAAATATCACTAAATTTATTTACTTTTGTACATATTATCCAAATCAATTAAACTCAGAACACTTCATCATAAAATATAAAATATACCTCGATTACAAAAGTGATTGCAACAATAAATTAAATCGGTCAAACTTTACTTTTTGAAAAAATCCTTATTTTTGGGTGCCTAATAATAATTCACTAACAAATTTATATTGAATTATTTGTATATATAGCATGTTTTAAAAAAAAGTGTACGTAGCATTTTTCAATAAAAAAAATTAAAAGCTTATGTACGTACAAAGCAAGTTTTTCAATAAAAAAAATTAAAAGCTTATTTCGGATTAGAGGAATCCGTTTTTTAGCATTCCCCTGCCAACCCTAAAGTTTTCGGATTAGCCAACCCCGTTACCCGTATTTTCAGAAAATCTAAAAAAATTCCCGTATTTTGGAAGGCCAGGCAATGGTTTCCCGTCATTTGAGAAATCACCCTAAAAAATTATCCCTAGCTTGATCAATGACTGAATGAGTTCTGGATTGTTTGATTGCATGACTAATTATATTGGTTATTGATTATATATTGTTTATATAATAGTAGTATACGGAGTATTGTTTATTTACCCTAATATATTGCATGACACTAATATTGTTTATTTACCCTTATTTGGTTATTGATTATTTTGAAGATTATTATTTCTTGATTCATTCCACAATTTCCGTAACATGCAATTTACCTTCTTGAGTATTAGAGTTAACTGTATTTGTCATATTTGAATACAGTTAAGGGATGCGAGTTGTACTTATAGATCGCCACGGGAAACTTTTGACATCATTTTTGAAATATAAAGAATGTTAACCATTTTTTTCCAATGGTTAAAGATGATCTAGGTTAAATATCATGTGGTTTGATATTTGTCATAATTGTTATCTACTCTCTCCGGTTCCAAATGAAATTCGCACTTTGACTTCACACAAATTAAGGAAATAAATTTGACTTTACTGTAGAGTACATTGTTGTGACACTGTTTGATACTGTTTTGACACTGTTTTGCACTGTTTCACACTGTTTTGATGTAGATAATTTGCCAAATAAGGAAGAGAGGAGAAGCGTGAAGTTTATTTTAGACCTACCCAAAAAGGAAAGTGTGAATTTCATTTGGGACCGGAGGGAGTACTAAACAATGATATTGACATTAACTTGAGCGCTTTAGAAGGATATATATCCAAAAGAAAACAAGATGAGCTATTTTTTTCTCCAAGGGACTGGCGGTCTGAAATAATCAGGGTTGAAACTCACTTCGTTGAGTTTCAAACCCTTGTGTACCTAGCGGGTTTACCTCCACTAGACACAATAACCTCACAACCAGCTGGACTGGAATGCTTGGTTAGAAAACAAGATGAGCTTATAAGCACATTGTTCAATAAATATGATAGACATGTAAAGAAAGGCAAGAGTTAGAGTTTTAGTAAAGGAAGCAAAAAACGTTACTTTTGAAAATATTACGAATATAATCAATATATAGACCTCGACTCATCAAATCTGAATTGTTTTAACTTTTATTTACTTAAAAAATCTGGTGTATCTTAGCTATCAAAATAAATTTTGGGTGTATTCCTTTGGACTTTATAAAACATTTTAGGATTTTTAATTAAAATCTGGATATATTAAATTGGGACATTCCGGGTCTCAAAAAAGTCACGGTGTATTTAAAAGGGACATCAACAAAACTTTGGATTCTTTTCTAGATTAAAATATGATAGAATTTTACCCCAAAAAAATACACTGCCTTGGTCCAAAAAGGTGGAATCTCCCACCCCAGGAGTCCCTCATACCCCGACCCGACAGTATTTTTGGGAGGATGTTAATCACGGTGACTCAGTCGGCCCAATGATGGTAGGTCTTTTTCCCGTGCGCACCAGAGGTCCAGCCTTATTTCAAGTTCTGTGACCTCCACACGGTCACTGTGGGTTTCGAACATTGGTTACTTGGTCCAAATTTCCCACCACTGAACCAACTGAGATACTCATATCCATTATGAAATCCCATTTCTGGGCGCTTCTTCAAATATGGGGGAGACACTAGTGGCCAGTTCAACTATTTTTCTTCTTGTTTTAAGAAGTTTGGGGGAGTCACCACTCTGCGATACCGCTTTGTATGCCACTTAGTCACAGCCAAGAACAGTGAGAAGGTCACCGGAAAAGGTCATGCTCTTCTCTGTGTCGTGCTTCCGGCTCTGCATCTGAAGCGTCGTTGTCGATCGGTTCCCAGCCGGTTGGTGAATCCATTGACGGTGTATTACTTACACATCAATATTCACAATTATTTAGGAAGAAATTTAGTCAATATGCTGATTGCGCTCTAACATCGAGTTCTATTAAATGGAGACTTAGAGAAACAGAAAGTTCTCGAGATAGGAGTAAATAGATTTTGAAATTTCAAAATAGAACTATTATATTTCTATTCTCAAAATAGGACTAACATAGGCACATGTCAGATTTACCGCCAAAGTAATTTATGTACTATACATCATCATGACAATATATGTTACAATTAATAGCAATATTCTTCAATTATGAAATAACGATTTTATTTTGGGAAGTAAAACATAGCAATAGGTCATATTGAGGCAATTTCCCTACCTCTCTTTATGACCTACGTATTTCATGAACGTAGGACTATTATATGCGATAATAAGCATGCCATTGTGAAAGTTTAAAGTAGTCATAAAATGTGGATAATAGAAGAAACAATTTCGACAAAGTCATGATACTTTGAATGCTAGCTAGCTCGGTCTATATAATGTCTCTTAAATCGAATTCATCTAGAGACACTACAGAACTCACATTTTACAAATATACGGTTACTCAGCGCACATATCCTACTGTTGCCCTACGTTTGGACATTGACTTCTTAACTTTCCCAAGTTAAAGGCCAAAAAGGGTCCATATGTTTTGGACAAACTCTTTACTTACGTCAAAAGATTTAAATTACAAAAATAAAGGTTTTTTCCCTTAATATTACTAAATTGAATTGAATTTCAAAAAATGTGAGTACTTTTAAAAATTGACAAAAAGTGATTGACAAGGTCATATATTTGGAATCGGAAAACATGATGTTACTGCAAAAAAATTATGTCACTGTATTCGTTTCTTCATGTCAGTGAGAGTGCTCATCGTCAAATTTTTCCACGTCAATTACACCACCACCACCACAGCAGTGACATCATCATAGTGATGCCGCCACAGTGACACATGTCACCGTCGCTAGAAAATATGTCACTGTGAGTGTTTCAGCTCATTCAAAATTGCCGCAGTCGACACCGGTGCCGATCAACCGCCACCCGACTCTCACACTCGCACTCAGCCTGCGCACACACCCAGCAACCACCACTGTCGACAGCCGCCGCCCTCCCAGTGACCACACCTGCCCCTCCCTAGCTAAATTATTTTCCAAATTTCCTTTTTTATCCATCCCAAAATAACCCCCTCTTTCCCCTTTTGAGAAACAATTTATGGTTTACATCATTTCTTACACATTCTTCTACCTCTTTTCTGCACAACTCTACACGAGACCATCATACAATTCTCATTTTCCTAATTCTGAAGCAGAATCACTTTAAAAGATAATTAAGGATGGAGCACAATATACATTCATTGTTTTTTCTCACTAGTTATCCTTAGACACATTCACATTTGCTAAAGACATGGGAGTATGTGTTTAGCTTTTCAGGAATGAAATGAAATATTTTATTTGTGGTAAACCCTCTTCGCAGCCATTTTCAATTGGTTTGTTTTTTTACAATGATATCGGGACTGTACAATCTTTAAATAAAAATGAATCATACTAGGTACCTGAAATTTTGTGTTCCTTAGGTCAAGACTTAGTTATTTGATATACATACTTAACACTTAACACAGTGCTCACTCTAAAACATACTACCTCCCTCCCAAGTCCCATATAAAGGTTTTTGTGTACTACTATCCGATCCACAAAAAATTTGTTCTTAATCGTTTACTTTATGTCTTTAAACATCCAACTTTTATCAAATTTGGATTTTTTAAGACTAAAACTTTTAATATAGTTTCTGAATATTTAATTTTTATTTACTAAAAACAAACTGATTATTAATAAGGATCAGTTAACTTTATGTTAAATCAAACATCGTAAATCGCATGAAAAATTTTAAGTTTAAGTGGGTGGAATGGAGAGGGTGTCATTTTGATTTGGTAATAGTACAGCAGTACATATTAGGGATGGACTAAACCGGGCCGGCCCGACCCGGAACCAGTCCGGCCCATTACTGTTTGGGCCCGGACCAGACCGGGACCGGTTGGCCGGTTCCGGGCTTTTAGCCCGTTTGGGCAGGTCGGGCGGGTCGGGTCTTGGGCCCAACTTTTGGTGAACCAGCCCGGGCGGTTCGGGCCGGGCCCGGTTCAATTTTTTTTTCAATTTTTTTTGCTTTTCTAGGTTAGGGTTGGGGGTTTGGGGGGTGGGGGTGAAGGGGGGGGGGGGTCGGGTGTTAATTAGAAACCAAAAAAAAAATTGAACTTGACCCGAGCTCGGCCCGGCCCGGTTAGGCCCGGACCCGGTATCAACCCGGGCCGGTTCCGGGCCCAACATTTTGCAAAAAAAGCCCGCCCGGGTCCATCCCTAGTACATATGCGAGTCTTCACACTCTTTACCATTATCAAAAGATTCAAAACAACATGGATAGAAGAAGGAAAGTTGGAAATTTACAGAGCCAAAACAAACAAACGAAAAAATAAGTAAATAAATACAAATGAACATTCTAAATGAAGATAACTTTAATTCCAAACATGTATTTTATTTTTCTTGGCTGTCCAGATCGAGGTCCAGATGAACTTTTCACATTCTGCACTAGTGTCTTCCAGTTCCGAGGGACTGTCAATACATTATCTATTTCTGCTTCGTCTAACAAAAAAATTCAAGAAGCAAAAAGAAGTTTGAAAATGAGAAGCCAAGCTAAGTAGAGTGGTTCAAGGTACTGCTACTACTACAATAACAAACAAGCTTAACAGCTACGTTTGAGAAACAGAGTAATCACAATGGAAATATGACAAACATTACTTCTGGAAAAGTGATACAAAAATGTGGCGGAACCGGGACTTCTTCATCTGAGCGTACTTCCATCAACTTTGGGGGTTCAAAGTTACTATGAAGTAGTGACTATGATGTAAACATTGAACACAATTATAGTCACTAAAAGTTACTAAGTCACATTTCTTTCCATGACTTTTTTATTAGTAATATTTTAGGAAAATCCTCGGATATTATATGGCCATTAATGAATTTTACTGCAACTTTGTAGGCATTTTGTTTTGTTTAAGAAGAATTAATTAGTGCACCTGATCTATGAACTGTGCATTTTGTAGGAGTATAAGGAACCGGTACTGAATACGCATTTTCCAGTATTAAAATTGTGATCTGGTTTTACATTTTAATATCTGATCTCTTTTGGTTCTATTCCAGTCTCAATGTTTCTAGTCTAATACTCTAATCAGCTCAAATCTGAGCCAATCTTATCTACTCTTTTGTCAAAACTATAACACATGGCCTAGTTTGATCTAAGATCTTTAGTCTGACCTGATTTGATTTTTTTTGGCCTAATCAAATTAATATAAAAAATACGTAATAAACAAAGATTAGAGTGAACCAAAAATGCACATTAGTTTAGGTGCTTACTCAATGACTACATTCTTTCGAAGTGAAGCTGTCCTGTAAATTAATGTGTAATGTTTTGCATGGCCAATTTATAACAACATGCCAGGAACTGCTACTAATACAACCATAGAAAAAACAAAGGTTTACTGCAGACTGCAGTGAACACCGGATGGGCAAGAAGAAACTGATTCTAAAATCTGTGTTGGGAAAATAGCATTTACAGTTTTACACAAGACATCTAATTATGCAAAACCTTACAATGAGCTAAACATGCATACACTTGTCAGATCCTAATATATGCACTGTGATGAAAAGGCTTGAAACCGGAAAGATAAACCCAACAATTAGCAACATAAGAATTAGTAAGCAAGAAACTACACACCATGTCATATCTGAGCCGAAGCACCAAGGCAAGAAATTGGGTTACCTTGTGAAGGTAAAAGATCTTATTACTTCAATCTTCAAAAAATGAGCAGTTGCACTTGGAGATGGATGATCTTTCAAAACCAAATCATCTCTCAAACACCCTCTCTCTTCTCTTCAGATGCGACGGCTACTGAGCTTCTTGTATCTAGTAGTTCAAGAAGGCCCTTCTTCCCTGGCTTTGAAGAAAAGTCAGATGGCAGAATTCCTTTCTTGATATCCTCACAGATGCTAGCAACCTGCCGTATATCAAACATACATTGACAGGCTGACTTGACAGACTTTTTCAGCAATGGTTGTGATAATAAAGGATAAAATGCTGAATACTTACAGTCTCTTCAGCACAGTAAAGATTGGTACCGATGATTCCAGTTGCTCCTCTTTTCAACCAACCACATACATATAAACCCTTCTCAACCTCTGTAAGACATGTAGAATCACTTCGGACACGACCGCTAATGTTTGGAACTATGCCTGTGTAAGGAACCAAGATTAGAATCACAAGCCCTCAAGTTCTTCATCCATGCTTTTGAATTTAAAACTAAAACAATAAGGAAAATAAACAAATTCCATAAAACATGCATGATACTAAGTATTAAATATATTTGCTGCCAGACTGCATTTGTTTTACAATACATACCATTCTTGTGATCGAAAGGTAAGCCATCTACACATATTGACTTATTACCAATGCTTTTCAAAACCAGCCTGCAAGCAGTTTCAAAGGTGTCAAGAAGTTTCATAGCCACACCGGTTCAAATATAGTAGAATAATCCTCCTAGATGAGATTTTTCTACATATAAAGCCAAAACAAGTTTTACCCGCATCTCATGTCCTCAAACTGTCCTATACCAACTGCAATCTGTTTTCCAGATCCGACATCTTCAGAAAATGCACAATAAAAAAACAAATTATTCCATCCTATTCTTTTAGTTATGTATTAGAAAAATCCATAAATAGGACTATAGCATAATACAAATCTTCAAATGTGACCATCACAGTTATATGCTGAAAATAGGACCCATTAACTTCTAAAAGAAGACTATTCCTTTTTAGAAATGGACAACACCTATTTTTAGCACAAAGCAGGGATACTCTTTTTTGTATCCCTGCTTTGTGTTGTTAAATGCAACTAATGAGTTAGTATAGGCTACAACAGTAATTACATAGGATAAGAAGATGTCACAAAAAGTGAACTAAAGGAAATGAAATGAAATGAAAATGCAATTATTTTAGAAGTATGCATTTCTTCCTCGATGTATACTTCTATAAGAAAAATGGTTGTCTACCTCTAAGAGTTGTTCGCTCAAAGTGCACCCCAGCCACATGACCAGACCTAGCATCTGATTCTAAAAACCTATCTGGTTTTCGAAAGAAAATAAAGTGCAGTTCACGTTGTCCAGGAGAAGGGAATAAAGGTGTAGGAGTAGCTGCCTGAGACAGCAACTCATGAACTCTCCTATTGATCCGATTATTCTTGAGTACATCCTACTTTGTGCAGCAAATTGAACAGGCAAACAATTTGTAAGTATTGCAAATGTGTGGAATGTCAAGATGCCAATGCAACTATTGGTCAAGGAATCAGATTTTCAGTAATATAGATCATGTAAATTGAACTAGAAGGAAACAAACCTCATCAGCAGGAGTTTTATGCAGGTCTGCTCTGTCAATGTGAATGAACAAATTCTTGATACCTGATGCAATACAAGGATTCAGCTTATGCAATAATAAGGATGTTTTTAATTGGGCTTAAATTTTAAAGTATGGTCTCGTAAATGTCTGTTTTAGACGTATTTTATAACTGCCCAAGTCTGGTTTGGTCAGAATTCGTCTGTTTAAGTCTGGTCTGATCTAGTCTGAAACTGAAACCAGTCCAATTAAAATCATCCTAAGAACTTCCGACAATTCTTTTTTCCTCAAATTAATATCCTAATTATTACAAGGAAAAGATCAGCACACATGTAAGTGGTAGACTGGTAGTCAAATACGGACAGGGCTCGGTGTTAGGGGCTCTTTATTTTCGACTTAATGGACTTAATGGGAATAGCGACCTAATCGTTCAACCATTAAGTCGTGTATACTTATGACTTAATTGAAAACGTGACTTAATCATTCAGTCAAACTGACTTAATCATTAAGCTGGAAAATAATAGTCCTTCCCATTAAGATGCCTATTAAGATGTCTGTTCTCTCAATTTTTTAAAATCGATTATGCAGTAGATTTATGTTAATAAATGAAATTTCACATTGACATTATAACCCAAGAATAATACTAAATTGATTATCTTAGACGGTTTATTCAGCACACATAACAAACAACCTCATATACAAATACTACTTAATCCAGACAGCAGTCGGGACAGTCAGGACTTAATAGGGGAAAAAAGTAAATAGCCCCTTAGTCTACTATATCCAATATTTTACTACACCGAATTAGGGATGACTCTGCATGTGAAACACGAAGCACGGAAGAATCAAGTTATGATTACGGAGTAATACCAACCAAGAGTTTCACGCAACTCCTTTGCAATGAAAGATGCTTGCACCGGTCCACGTCTGCCAACAACATAAACTTTTCTGCAAGTAATTTAATCAGCCATCAACTATTTTACAGAAATGCAATTGATTTTATGATCACATAAACCGTTTCAAAAAGGACCTTATAGAACTCTCTTCTAGAGCAGCCAAGGCATGTGAGGCGATATCAGTTTTTGCCAACTCTGCTGTTGGTCGCAAAAGCATACGGGCCATATCAAGAGCGACATTTCCCTGGACATGCCAGCAAATTGTTAACTCAGAACCATGCAAATTAAACAGAAGAATATTACACTCATACCCCACATTTTCTTCAAATATATGGGTACATAAGCGTGCAAAAAGTTATACAGAAGAGAGATAGATCATTTTGTTAACATTGGTAGATCGGTAAGACCTCTTAATGAAAGAAACACCCGAGGTTAACATTAATTGACAAGGGTCAGGTTCTGACTTCTGATTCAAAGCGAAGGGCACAACTTAAGTATAAGATGAAGAATAAAGTATTTGAATCACTAAATTTAAGGTGTTGACCCAGTTCAAGCATCAAGAGTCATTTGGTCAACCCTAAACCTTCAGTATAAGCTCGTTTTGACTACTTGTAATCCTTGAAGGTAGATACACATATGAAAATGAAGTACCTGACCAACAATAACAGCTGTATCAGTGTTCTTCAAATCTGGAGCCAAGTATCTGCAGTCAGGATGCCCATTATACGACCAGACAAAGTCTCTAGCAGGATATATCCCTGACAAATCCTGCAAGCCATATAAAAGAAGAACAGAAATCATCATTTTCTTGACCAAATAGCAGAACATAAAAGCAGCTCATCAAATGCTGCACATGGAAATGATAGTAGAACTGTAGAAGTATGTCAATATTATGGTTTTTGAGGTATACTTCACCAGGAATGCCAAGTTCTCGGTCACCTTCAGCACCATAGCAAAGCACTACCTACAAAACAACGAATGCATTGAAAATTGTAAATAAGAAGCCAAGAAGTGAGAACATTGAAGAGGCCACTAAAAACTGATGCCTTCAGACAGAATTAGTACATAAGTACATTACCACATCATATAGATCACGCAGCTCAGCCAAGGATATCAGCGACCCAAGAGATACATTTCCAAAGAGTGAGCAGCGTTGATCTTGAAGTATCCGAGAAAATTGGTTTATCACATTCTGTTTTTGTGAAGTAAGCATATTAAGAGAACTATCTCAAAATAATAACACTAATCATGACAACAACAGCAGCAAGACCATCATCAACAACAACAACAATACAAATAATGATTATAAAATTAAAGTTGACTGGATGAATGAAATTATGTAGTTGAGCACATTTAGCGAAAGTCCCACAGATGAAATTATAACAGTAAATCTTCAACTTGAAATAGAAGAGTGCAAAACATAATAAAATAAGCCGTAAGTCCGTAACTACCCATGCCCCTCCTTAAAATGAAAAAAAGACATGATAATGAAGTCACACTAAACGTAATAAGCAAGAAGCAAAGCTTGCAGCAGCTTTGGAGTCTTGTCATATAATAAATTCTGAGCAGTGCTGAAAGCATCATGCAGTGATTTTACAGGGGGGGGATAAGTCTGAGTGTCTAACTCCTCTATGGATATGCTCCCAATTGAATGGGTTTTAAATGTGGAGAACTTGTTGAATCATAGTGAAGAATGACAATGAACGTCACTCCAATGTAGGTAACTTTAATAATGGTTAATATTTAAAACTTTTAGAGAAAATGGTCAAATAAGCCCTCGTAGTCTCGAACTAATAGCAATTTTGCAATTGAGTCCCTGAACCAAATACCATTACAAATACACCACTCAACCAATCGAGAAAAAGCAATTGAGCCTTTTTACCTATTTGGTACCGGTAACATCCCAGTATCCCACTAGGAATTAGGAAATAACCAGATCACATTTCCTTACCAGCACCCAACGGGTAAAAAAGCCTAAATTGTTGTTTTTCAATGGGTGAAGTAGTGTATATCTTAAAGTCATCTGATTCAAGACCCAATTGTTAAATTGCCACTAGTTCGAAAGCTTATTTGACAATTGATAAAACAAGCTCCCGATGTGCAGAAAATCCACAAGATATTAAGCAAAACAACTGAAATGTTATTGAAGAAGAAAAGTTCCGTAACAATGGCCGAAGCCCCCAATGAGCCGTAGCCCCCCAAAAGAAAGAGAAAGTTCTCGATCTTCCCAAAATCCCAGATTAAAATGTCTCAAATCCCCCTGACTTCTCCCCAGTTTAGTCTATTTATACTAACTAATACACTTATTATTATTCTTAGTCTATTAGGCCCAATTCCCAACAGTCTATTAAGCCCAATTCCTAACAATTCTCCCCCCCCTAAACATCCACCTTGCCCTCAAGGTGGGCGAGAGAACACAACCACCATCTTCTTCTTTTCCTTCATCCTAGCACCTCTCCCTTTCCAATACTGGATGGATTGCTGGACTTTTAGTTTTGCTGCTTCCATCTTCTTCCCTATGTATTTCACAGTGGATTTACACAGATGCCATGACATTTGTTTTTGTAATTTGGTTCTTTCAGATTCTGTGGAGGTGAAGTCACCACCTGCTGCAACATCGAGGACAGCAACTTCTTGCTTTTGAACACTTTCTTCTTCAATATCAATAGATAACACATGATAGTTCAGAAAGTTTCCTTCTCCTCTCTTATTCACCAAGCTCTTCATCTCCTTATTTATTCATAGTTGATGATCTCCTTGTATACTAGCCTTCTGCCCCTGTACCTCCCATTTGATGGTCTGATTTTGAAAGTTAACTGCCATATCCCCTAGGCCAGTTAACCAGCTCATTCCCAGCACTACATCCACTCCCCCCAATTGCAGAATGTAAAATTTTTGCAAAATTTCATTTCCTTGTACAACCACTGTTAACCCATCACACCTACCATAGTTGGGAAGAAATTCCCCATTCCCTAGCTGCACTTTATTCCCCGTAATGCAATCAAAAGGTATCTTCCATTCCTCAACAATCTTCTGTGAAATAAAATTGTGAGTAGCTCCACAATCAATCAAAATATGCACCTTCTTTTCCTCAATCAGCCATTTCAGATTTCCCAGGACTTTGAATGTTCTCATGAGTGGCGTTCCTTCTTTGTTCAACACAGATAATTGCATAGTCTTAGCTTCCATAAGAATTCCTTCTTCTTTTTGTTCTTTACTAAAGTCAGTCTCAGATTCTTCCTCCCCTTCAGATTGTTCTACCATCATTATTTTAAAAAATTTCGTTCTACAAATGTGACCCCGATTCCAGTTTTCACCACATTTAAAACATAACCCTTTCTTACTTCTTTCTTGCAGCTCATTCTGTGATAATCTGGGGCATGTATTCTTGGAGACAGAACTTGATCCTTCAATGATTTGTAGATGTCAGATTATAACTATTTCTACTACCATCTCCCCATTTATGATACCTCTGTCCACCTGCTGAATTTATTTTCAGAATCTTCTTTCCCTCATCTTTATTCTTTATGATGTTGGCTTCATAGTTCTTGTTTTCAATCAAGGAAGTTGTGTCCATGACAGCAGCTAGGGTTCTTGTAGGATATAATTTCAATTCAGCCCTTACATCTCGTTTCAACCCATTGAGGAACACTCCTCTAAGTACCTCCTCAGTCAGATGCCCCTGCGAAGCTATAGCAACTTCAAACTTATCTCTGTACTCCTTCACCGTCCCTTTTTGCTTCAAACTAAACAAAGATCGCAGAGGATCCTGCACCAAATTTGGTTGAAAACGTTTGCTTAGATCCTTCGTAAAACTCTACCAAGTCTGGTGATGAGCCTGGCCTTCCCACCATTGGAACCAGCTCAGTGCCTGGTCTTCCATGGCTATCACGGCAACATCAATTTTGTCTTCTTCCTCCGTATGATTCAGGCGGAAATAACGGTTCATTCTTACCAGCCATCCCATAACATCTTCTCCGTTAAAAATTGGTAAGTCAATTTTTCTTCCAGTTCGTTGGTGGTGATCATGTCCCCTGCGGCGATGGTGATGGCGGTGTGGTGGTGAACGGTTGTCGTACCCTTCTGAGTTCTCAGAACTCGCTGAGTGTCGCGAATGATGAAGGTGAGAAGTGCGATGCGATGCAGATGAGCGATGCGACCTACTTCTCGATCGATCTCGATCGCTTGCATCCAATCTGGCCATAATCGTTGCCAACATCTCTGTCGTTTGTTGATGATTCCTATCCACCTTATCATCCAATCTGTTGTGGTTATTCTCCAACTCATTCATCCGCAAATCCATCTTTGTCCGTGTCCAGACCATCCACAGAATCTACGTGCTCTGATACCAATGATAAAACAAGCTCCTGATGTGCAGAAAATCCACAGAAGATATTAAGCAAAACAACTGAAATGTTATTGAAGAAGAAAAGTTCCGTAACAATGGCCGAAGCCCCCAATGAGCCGTAGCCCCCCAAAAGAAAGAGAAAGTTCTCGATCTTCCCAAAATCCCAGATTAAAATGTCTCAAAATCCCCTTGACTTCTCCCCAATTTAGTTTATTTATACTAACTAATACACTTATTATTATTCTTAGTCTATTAGGCCCAATTCCCAACAGTCTATTAAGCCCAATTCCTAACAACAATTGACCATTTTCTCTAACTTCAAATGAAATGGTAGTACATATTATGAGGATTAGTGAAACGAAATACTAACAAAGTATACGACAACAGTACGTTTACAATTTATTAATAGCCACAATTGTCTGGCAACAAGTCTCAAACATTAAGAAGAAGAAAAACATTGAACAATTAAACTGGTTGGCTCCAGAGATCCATCTTCAGTGTACTGCAGCAGTATTCTTCACCTCCAACTTGACCCCATCGCGTAATCTTTCAGCCTTATATTCTCTTTCATCACGCGAGAGCTGTGCCTGACTCCCACTTGTTGTGGATCGTGTGCCACGTGTCCCTGATTACTAACAGAATTCTCTGTCCTCCGTACACACGCTACATTACCCTCCACATCGAAAACAACCTTGTCCTCAAGGTTGAATTGAGGATAAGATTCTCGGATGTCTTGCAAGTCTTCCCATGTTGCATCCTTAGCAGTAGTTGCTTCCCACTCAATCAACAATTGAGACACCAAGGTCTCTAAACGCTTCACAACGCGGACATCCAACACTTTACAGGGGCTAATCACTGGACCCAACTCATTAGATGTGATTGGAAACGGAAGATACGGTTGATAGGTTGATCCATGGAATGGTTTTAAAAGAGCAATATGAAATACCGGATGTATTTTGGCAGGTTGAGGAAGCTGTAATTTATAAGCAACAAAGCCGATTTTCTCAATGATCGGAAAGGGACCAAAATAGCGCATGCCCAATTTTTGGTTCTTTCTCAAACTTAATGAATGTTGCCTATAAGGCTGCAGCTTAACCAAAACCAACTGACCCGCCTAAAATTGTAAATCCATGCGCTTTTGTCAGCTTGCATTTTCATGTATTGTTGAGCTCGAGATAACTGGGCCTTGAGTTTATCTAAAAGCTGATCTCGCTGCTGTAATAATTCTTTGACAGACCTGTTATCCTTCGGATCATTCTCATAGCGTAGTATACTAGGTGGAAGGCTACCACAAACAGCTTGAAATGGTGTCATACCCAAGCTTTGATGGAATGAAGTATTATACCAGAATTGGGCCCAAGGAAGCATAGTCACCCATTGTTTAAGATTTTCAAAGACAAAACACCTGAGATACATCTCGAGAGTTTTATTTAGGTTCTCAGTCTGGCCATCGGTCTGAGGGTGATAAGAGGAGCTCATTGCAAGTGTTGTTCCTTGAGCTTTAAATAAATGTTGCTAGAAGCTGTTAATAAAATTTTTGTCTCGATCAGAGACAATGGTTTTAGGGAACCCGTGTATTTTAACAATGTCAGAGATGAAAGCTTCAGACACCATTTTGCTATTAAACTCAGATTTTAACGGAATAAAATAGCCAAACTTGGATAGTCTATCAACAACCACCATAATAGTTGTAAAACCTTGGGAAGAAGGTAATTGCACAATAAAATCCATCGCTATATCCTCCCAGATTTGTTGAGGAATAGGAAGTGGCTGTAACAGCCCTGTTGGTAACGCGTGATCAGTCTTGGCTTGCTCACAAATAGCACATTCTCGTACAAACCGATGAATATCATTTCGCATACCCTCCCAATAAAACTGCGCAGCTATTCGAGCCAATGTGCGGTTAATCCCCGAATGACCGCCAATCTTAGAATCATGAAATTCATGCATAATCTGGAACAACTCCCGATCCAGAGGAGCATTATTTTATCTTTAAATAGCACTAACCCATTCTGAATCTGATATTCAGATTTGGAAGATTGACCCTGCAAACATTCTTGATAAATCTTGGATAATGTTGGGTCCTTCTTAGTTGAGTCAATTACCTTGTTAATCCATGAGTGCATAGGAGCTGACATTGCCATCAAGAAGCTTCTGGATAAAGCATCAGCCGATATATTTTCACTCCCAGGTTTATATTGAATCGTAAAGTCATAGCCTCGAAATTTAGGAAGTCATTGCTGTTGTTCCGGAGTTTGAAGGCGTTGTTCAAGCAACTCTTCAAGACTCTTCTGATCTATTTTAATTACGAACTTGTGGCCCAAGAGGTAGTGTCTGAATTTGGCTAAAGCCTCAGTTATACCATAAAATTCTCTTATATAAGCAGATTGTCTTTGCATTTTTAAGGACAACTTTTTTGAAAAGTAAGCAATAGGATGCTTATTCTGGCTTAGGACTGCACCCACTCCAGTTCCCGAAGCATCGGTTTCTAGTACAAATATCTCCTTGAAATTGGGAATAGCAAACACCGGTGCAGATGTCATGGCTATCTTAAGTTGCTGAAATGCTTCAGATGCAGTTGAAGTCCATTTGAAAGAATCTTTCTTTAATAAATCTGTTAAGGGAGCTGCAATGCTAGCATAAGATTTGACAAATCGTCGGTAATAACCCGTGAGACCAAGAAATCCTCGTAACTGTCTCAGTGAATGAGGTTCAGGCCACAGTTGGACAACTTCTAATTTGTTGGTATCCATAGCAACACCTGAGCCAGAAAGAGTGTGTCCCAAATAATCAATTTGCTGAACTCCAAAACAACACTTTGAAAATTTGGCAAATAATTGTTGTAGTTTTAAGATGCCCAAAACCACTTCCAAATGATGTAAATGATCTTCCCATGTAGTACTGTACACGTGAATATCATCAAAGAAAACCAAAACAAATTTTCTTAACAGCCCCATAAAGATTTCATTCATAAGACTTTGAAAGGTGGTAGGTGCGTTAGTCAATCCAAAAGGCATAACCAACCATTCATAATGACCTTGATGAGTCTGAAATGCTGTCTTGTGTCTATCTTCAGGTTTAAGCAATATTTGATGATAACCAGACCTTAAATCGAGCTTAGAAAAGAATGAAGCTCCAAAAAGTTCATCAATCAGTTCATCCACCGTAGGAATAGGAAAACTATCCTTGATAGTGATAGCATTCAAAGCCCTGTAGTCAGTACATACTCTCCATGACCATCTTTCTTTTTGACCAAGATAATAGGGGATGAAAAAGGGCTCTTACTCGGCTGGATAATACCTTCTTTCAACATCCCGGATACCAATTGCTCTATTTCTTCTTTTTTACTATGAGGATACCTATAAGGTTTAACCTTCACAGGTTGAGACCCCTCCCATAAGGGAATAAAATGATCATGAGATCTTGGAGGAGGTAAACTGCTAGGCTCTGCAAAAACATCCTGGTAAGTGTGCAATAATCGACCCAGTTCAGCAATAGAATAAACTACCTCTGGCTCCTCAATCTGTAACGAATAAACTTCAGCAATAGAATTAGTTTCTACCATTCTCCGTATTTGATGTAATTGAGCCTGCTCAGGAACTAAGGCACCATCCCCCTTTAGTAATGCACCATCCCCCTTCAGCAATAGATTCAGTGTAATGAATCTATCCTTCCACATAAATTTGATTTGTAATGCATCATAGTCCGCAATGTGGGGACCAATAGACTTCAGCTAACTAGCTCCAAAAATTAAGTCTGCACCCGATATGGGAAGCAAAAATGCCTGTAACTGAAAAGCATTGCCCTGAGCTTGGACCCTCAAATTCTTAACCACTCCTTCGGAAGACATGTAGTTTCCATTGCCAACCATTACTTTAAATTGAGGAGCTGGTTCGACAGGAAGTTTTAGAAACTTTGCCACTCGAGGTTGCAAGAAATTGTCAGAGCTGCCACTATCCAACAAAACAGTTATAGGTAATTTATCAATATAAGCAATGAATCTGATAGTACCAGCCCCCATCCCCTCTTTCAAGGCATTCAAAGATAAATGATGATCTGCAGGTTCTACTGTCTCAATTTCCTGAATAGCTTCAAATTCCGCTACATTGCATGGTTCTTCCTTATTGTCCTCTTCTATTTGTAATAACAGAACTTGCTTATTAGGGCATTTATTTAGGGTTAAAAGAGAATTTCTCATCACAGAAATAACACAAGCCTCTTTCCCGCCTCAATTGCATTTCAGCTGGAGTAATCCTTCTAACATTTGGATTTCTTAAAGTTGGCCCGGGTGGAGTAGGTAAAAATGGAGGCAACCCTGCTTTGACTTGTGGTTTTGGCTGATGAAGAGTAGGAACAGGCATAGAAGATATAGTGGAATATTTTGGGGTAGGAACATGTCTAATTGGCATGGAAACAGGGCTATATTTATCTTCATAGAGTTTAGCTAACGCAACTGCACGTATTAAGGTGGGGAGACACATAGCAACAACATCTCGTCTTAAATCCTTATTTAACCCACTAATAAAGCAGTTAAGGAAGGCCTCATCACTCAATCCCAATGATCTATTAGCTAATGATGTAAAGTGGAGGTAGTAATCAGATACCGAACCTGTTTGTTGCAGTGTAAAGAGCTCAATCATTGGACAATCAAAAGGGGAAGGACCAAATTGTGATTCCAAGGCATGAATCAACTCCTTCCATGTAGATACAATGGATAATTTTTGGGACATTTGAAACCAGGCGACAACGTCCGTGTCAAAATGCATTGCAGCAATGTCCACTCGAGCAGCATCTGGAGTATTGTGATAAGAGAATAATTTTTCTGCTTTAAAAATCCATTCCATAACTGGTGTGGTGCCATCAAAGTGTGGAAATCCCAGAGAAATCTCTCTAATAGGCAAAGAAGCTGTCATCGGTGAAACAAATGGAGAGCCAGAGCTCGTGGAACTCCCAGGTGGTTGAGAAGCACTTTGCAACTGATTCACCGCCAATTGAATTTGCTCCATAGATGTCTAAATTTGCATCATCTTATCATTTTGCTCCTGATAGCGTATATCCATTGTTTGGCCGATGCGATGAATATCGTCCGCGTGTGTACGAATGTCCGTTTGCAGTTCCTTCAAACGAGTGCCCTCAGCCATGGAAGTATAATGAAAGCACCAATGAAACGAAATACTAACAGAGTATACGACAACAGTACGTTTACAATTTATAAATAGCCACAATTGTCTGGCAACAAGTCTCAAACATTAAGAAGAAGAAAAACAAGGAACAATTAAACTGGTTGGCTCCAGAGATCCATCTTCAGTGTACTGCAACTTGACCCCATCGCGTAATCTTTCAGCATTATATTCTCTTTCATCACGCGAGAGTTGTGCCTGACTCCCACTTGTTGTGGATCGTGTGCCACATGTCCCTGATTACTAACAGAATTCTCTGTCCTCCGTACACACGTTACAATTAGTTGCATTCCATCTTGTTCAATTGTAGTGGTCGATTCTACAATATTAATCTAGCAATAAGACGTAAGTACATGACTAGAGATTATCACAACTCCTCATTGTCTCATGATATTTTTCATGCAATGGAAAAATCTATGATGATAAGGGATGTGGGATTTCATCTCATTTATGCAAAAAGATTGCAAGTTAAGTTGTTAATGTACGTCAAAGGCCGAGTAGCGAATAGTATCGACTACTCAGAAGCACCGATGATTGCTCGTTACTCTACACAATTATGATTGTAAGGAATAAATTGTATTTAGATTTTGATTATCTTGTACAAATTAGAAATTTAGAGTACCACCGTAGATAAATTGTACTTAGAATTTTTCAGTTGTAAGTATCAGTTAGTCGACTGTCAGAACTGCACTCTTCTGCTTCCCAGAGAACAGAATCGCTAAGACAAGTCCATTAAGAACAAGTTTAGCCTTGAGCAAAATCGACTTCAAAAGAAACACCCTCAGAAAGCCCTCGCACAGAATTGATCAACGCTTAGAAGATTCTGTTTAACTAACCGGAGTGAAGTGCGGAGTGAAGTGAGGATACTTCAAGCAAGCTCGGAGAAAAGGCCAGTCATCAGAAAGTAAGGATTGCATCCCGGGTGACAAGGACACTACACTTGAAGAAACATGGAAAGCTTCTTAGGTGCTAGGGATTTAAGCATTGTAACGTTTACAAAGATCTTAGTGGAACAGTGAACTTGAGGAACGCGTTGTTCCTTAAACGACTATCAAAGTCCATGGTGTCATTTACTTACTGCTTTTACTTTTTGCACTAAGAATTTAACTGCCTTACTCAAAAGAGCGTGGACACACAAAATAATAAAGTGGTGCCAAAGATAAAGTGGTGGAGGCTAGAGGGAGATCTTCAACAAAGCTTTACACACAAAATGGTCGGTGAAGATGTATGGCGTATTGATAATGAAACACAGGTGGATGATGTGTGGTTATCAATGGAGTTGACCATTAACAAAGTGGCAAAGGAGGTACTTGGAGAATCTAAAGGATGTCGGCCACCTAAAAAGGACACATCTTGGTGGAATGATGAGGTGAAACAAGCCATAAGGAACAAAAGAGATTGCTACAAAAAGTTGGGAACAAATTGGAGTGATGAGAACATAGAAGCATACAGGGAGGCTAAAAGACAAGCAAAGAAAGCCGTAAGGGAAGCACGAGGGAAAGTGAACAAGGAGTTGGACTCTAAGGAAGGAGAACTAGATATTTATAGACTTGCTCGTCTTCGTGATCGCAGAACTCAAGATATTGCAAAAGTTAAGTGTGTGAAGGATGTTGATCAGAGGATATTAATGGACGACGGAGAGATAAAAGAGAGGTGGAGGTCATACTTTGATACACTATTCAACGGGAACAAAACGCAAGAGATCGGCGATTTGTCCATACCAGATTGTATGGTTAACCGTGATTTTGTGAGAAGGATCCAAACAACGGAAGTTAAAGAAGCTCTGAGGAAGATGGGACGGAAAAGAGCAATGGGGCCAGATGGCATACCGATCGAGGCTTGGAGAAGTTTGGGAGAGAGAGGCGTCGAGTGGTTAACAAGTTTTTTCAACATGATTTGGAGAAACAACAAGATGCCAACGAGTTGGAGGAAGAGTACTCTTATCCCTTTATTTAAGAATAAAGGTGATGTACAAGAATGTGCCAACTATCGAGGGATTAAGCTTATGAGTCACACCATGAAACTTTGGGAGCAAGTGATTGAGCAAAGACTTCGAAGGACTGTGAAGATTTCAGAGAATCAATTCGGTTTTATGCCTGGTCGCTCAACAACTGAGGCTATTCACCTTCTTCGTCAACTTATGGAGAAGTATAGAGATGCTCATAAGGATCTGCATTTGGTGTTCATTGACTTAGAAAAGGCATATGATAGGGTACCTCGAGAAGTTCTTTAGTGGGCCTTAACTAGGAAAGGCATATCACGCAAGTATATCAGCATCATCATGGATATGTATGAGGATTGTACTACAAGTGTTCGTACTAGTGTAGGGAGGACTGAAGAGTTCTCTATTACTATCGGAGTGCACCAAGGATCGGCCTTGAGTCCTTTCTTAATTGCCATAGTCATGGATGAACTTACGAAGTCAATTCAAGACGATAGACCGTGGTGCATGATGTTTGCCGACGATATTGTATTGATTGATGAGACACAATCAGGTCTTAAAGCAAAGTTGGAAGTATGGCGACAAACATTGGAGAATAAGGGTTTCAAACTAAGTCGGAGCAAGACAGAGTACATGGAGTGCAAGTTTGGTGGAGGTAGAAGTAGTGGTAATAGCGGAATTACTCTGGATGGTAAGGAGATACCAGTCAGCGATATGTTCCGTTATTTGGGCTCCATAATTCAGAAGGACGGTGAGTTAGATGGAGATGTATCCCATAGAATCAGAACAAGGTGGATGAAGTGGAAGAGTGCGTCAGGATTTCTATGCGACCGAGGTATGCCGACTAGACTGAAGGGTAAATTTTATAGGACAACAATTAGGCCTGCATTACTGTATGGCGTAGAGTGTTGGGCGGTGAAACAATGTCACATTCAAAAGATGAGTGTGGCAGAGATGTGCATGCTGCGTTGGATGTGTGGGCATACTAGGAAGGACCGCGTGAGGAATGAGACAATCAGACAAAGGGTGGGAGTAGCACCTATTGAAGACAAGATGCGGGAGTCGCGCCTACGGTGGTTTGGTCATGTGCGTAGAAGACCGAGTGATGCACCTGTTAGGCGAGTTGAGATGTGTGGAGAAGAGGCAGGGAAGAGAGGGAGAGGAAGACCCAAACAGACGTGGGTTAGGGGAGTTCGAAGTGATATGCTTCTTCTGGGGTTGGATGAGGGCATGACTTTGGAGAGAACTAAGTGGAGGGCGGGTATTCACGTGAAGGAGTGATCTTGATAATCTTTTTCCCTCATCTTTTTTTCCTAGTTTTTTTTATCCTTATATATATGCATTATTTGCAGCCTTTTTATTTTATCATTTTTATATATATTCACCTTTTTTATATTATCTTTTCATAATAGCTTATCTTTATTCCTTCTTTTCCTTTTGGTTGTGATATCATGTATCGATTCATGTTAGCCGACCCCAATATCTTTTGGGACTAAGGCTTGGATGTTGTTGTACTCAAAAGAGCGTGGACTTTGTGTTCAGCATATCTCATTCTAAGAGAAGGAGAAATGCATTTTGCCTTAGTGTGTTTGGAAGGCTACCCGACTAGAACTACCTATTCCGATGCAGACCTATTCTGACAAGAATAGTGTCGGTTCTATGAGATAGACAAGTTCTGTCTCACAAAGAAACGAGAAACCAAGAACAGTCTATTCACCCCCTTTAGATTGTTTCTCTGATATTAACCGGGACCAACAATGATGATGATGCTTAGTGTAATTATAAGGAGGGATACACAAAATAGCTTAAAATACATAGAATCCTAGTAGTCAATTCATCTCCCCTCTCCCAAAAAATATGGACAATGCTATTTAAACATACATATCACTGATATTCCGCTCAAAACTAGTTTACTCAAAGACAACAAAGATGAAGAAGATGAAATGTGAGAAGTACATGATTAAAAACATCATTTGACATTGCTTTTACAGTTCATGACTATTGCATTAAAGTTGGACAAGGCTGGGACCCGGTTTGAAAATAATTGAAACAATGAATACTAACCCATTTTACAAACTTCAAATTTCAAGCATGTAAGATAAGTAAAAAGATAACAGATAAAAGGCAACCTGCACATTGGCGTCCCCACAAGGCGAGGGTCCTGGGAAGGTCACACCACAAGGGTGTAAGATAAGTAAATTTACAAAAAAACTACCAGTTCAAATAAACAACAAAAGAAGTCCAACTATTATCATCACAAAGTAAAATTTTTATTTTAGGTATTAAAATAAAAATTTGAGGTAACCTTTTTCTGTTCACTCATTTTGTTGTTGTAAAATGTGTACAAGGACACAGAAGATTAATTTACGAGTGGTGTCCAACACATACCTCAGGCTCTTGACCCCTTAAATGTGTATATCACAAACCCAAAAGTGGAAAATTAAGAAAAGATAAAAGCAGACCTTGGTTTCAGGATGATCCGGAGCAACACCATATTGGACTAACCCAAATGGCGTCGGTAACCGATCAAGTATATTGACTTCAGCTCTTTCATGTGCTTTAAGAATCTAATTTTGCAAACCAAATCGACCAGTGAACAGAAAGAAATACAAAAAATTGGATTTATAATAAAAATTAATATTATTAGAGAAATATAATTCACCCAAAAATTAAAATGTGATAGCAAATCTAATTACAAAAGTACCTTATCGGCAGTGTAAAATCCAGCAGGCCCGCTACCAACAATACAGACTTGTAGTGATCTCGAAGAAAAAGTAGTGAGGCTACGAGTAAGGCAATGCAGCATGCTTGGAAAGGCCATTCCCGTTACTGATAAGCATCTCCGAACTAGATGCACATGTGCAGGGCAGATGGCAGATAAATGTTAAAAAATAGATTATTTGAATGATTTTGTACAACTTTTGGTAAGTTTTTCTCTGCAATGTGAATCACAATGTGAAAATTTAGACGGTTTTCTTGACATTGTGGAGAAAAACTTACCAAAATTTTATAAAACCATCCAAATAAGGAGAGAATACTTTATTTGTTAATATTTGTGTGGCTATTTTTCATGCCACACATGCACCATGCACGTTGCAACATTGCACAACAAATCATGCAATTTCCTTTCCTATTGATCCAAGAGGTGAAATCTCCCACCACAGGAGCCCCCACCCTGACGGATGATGGGGAGGTTAGTCACGGTGACTCAGTTGGCAGAATGACAGTAGGTTCATACACCCGTGCGCATCAAAGGCCCAGTCTTATTTCAGGTTCTGTGACCTCCACTCGATCGCTGCAATTTCCTTTCCTAATTTCCCGCAAATGACGACTGTATAAGCAAAAACAGAAATAAGGGTATAAGGTGTCCAGTAAAGAAGTGCACGTGCTGATGGTATGTGAAATGTTTATTATATCAACGACAACATCCAAGCTTTAATCCCAAAAGATATTAGAGTCAGCTAAAATTAATCTATACATGATATCACCACCAAAAAGAAAATAAAGAAAATAAAGATAAAAAGGATAAGCTATTATAAAAAGATAATATAAAAAGAGATGAATGTACATAAAAATGATACTCCCTCCGTCACATAAAACTTTGTCATCTTTCCTTTTTGGGAGGTCCCAAAAAACTTTGTCACTTTCCCTTTTAATTAATTATTTTGTGGTTTCTGTTATTTCTTTCTCCTCTACACAAACCTCAACCACACAGTTTTAACTTTATTATTCTCCGTGTCGGTCAACTTTGGCAAAGTTTTAAGGGACGGAGAGAGTAAAATAAAAAGGATACAAATAATGTTTATATATATAAGGATAAAAAACAAGGGGAAAAAGAAAAAAAAGATGAGGGGAAAAGATGATACCAAATCAGTCCTCCACACGAATACCCGTTCTCCCCTTTGCTCTCTCCAAAGTCATACCCTCATCCAACCCAAAAAGGAGCATATCACTTCGGACTTTCCTAATCCACGTCT